TATGAAACAACAAAATGATATTAGTCTCTGGCTGAGGGAATACTTCAATTTGTGATTAACTGAAAAAACATTTTAACTTTTACTATAGATTTGTTTTTTTTTAAATAATAGCCTCACAAAAGGAAAGTTTTTAAAGTCTGAATTCAGACTCTAGTAAGTGTCTAAACTGATCCTTCTTTTAGTGAGATAAATACATTTTCATTTACAGCATTAACACAGTTTCAGGGCTACTCAGCATAACTCTTATTATCTTCTGCTTTCAACTGTAAAACATTTTCCTTTCTTTTTCTCCCACCAATAATTTGTGATACACTTTCCCAAATGCATTCCCTCTTAACCAATTTAAGCAATCTATTAATTATTTAATGAACATAAATTATTCACATACATTTACTTAATACTGTGCATGATAATTTACAGTAATGGTAATAAAACAAAAATAATTATACATTAATGGACCAAGTGTGTTGTTATATTTCAGTGGTGAATTCGGTGTTAATAATAATTATAATACAAAGTTATTCCATGTGCTTGCCACAGCATCCCACAGGAGCAGCATGTGCCAACAACAAGAATACCATCACCAACAACAACACCAGTAACAGCAACAACCAACATGCAGCAACATTAACAGTGATTGTGCAAGAGACATGCATGAAGTGGGAAGAGAAGAAAGGGACCAGGGGTAGAAGCTTGGACCACACTTAATTAACACTGGCCATGAACCAGTTACTGGACAGCAAACCAACTCTGAAAACTTTCTCACAGACAGCTGGGCTGCCATTTCTAATATTCTTTTACAGAGGTCTTAAGAATAAGAACAATTCCACCTGTCCATTCATCCATCAGTTTACTAATTCCAGCCCATATAAACTTGCATGATTTATGCAACAATTAATCTACAATAACACCTGCAGTTTTGCATGCCATTTCTACAGGAAGACTTCCAGGCTACCTTTCATGCACACCTAAGCTACTGCTGTCAAACATGAAGCAACAACATTTTTTTAAATTTATGACTAATGCACCCAGACAAAAAATATATCATCATTTCCAGACCAAACACTGATATGTACACATTTAGTTTCTATGGGACTCCAGTCTTCATCTTCACATCTAATGCAACTGCATGCATTTAGGGACCATGCAATTTACACCCCCCCCCCCCCTCCTCCAAATTTTTGTTACAACACAGAGCTTGCAACATGTAATACAATATCCTTTTCTATGTTTTTTGTGGTTTAAAATTGACAAAGAAAATGTAACCCAGGAAACTGAAGCCTAGCATCACCTTATCAAACCAACTTTAAACAAATCCTTTAAACAAATAGCTTTGATTTCCTTGAAACCAACTCTTGATTTAATTTAAGTTTTCTGTTATTTTCTGGCTCTCTGTTATGTAGAAAATTTATCAAAAACCTTCAAATCAAACTTCCAAGATAAATATTCAATACCCATTGAACAATATGCTTCATTTATCAAAAGTAAGCATTTTGAACTGAAATGTTTACAATTATTGTTCTCTCACAGCACTAAAAACAGTTTCCAAGTACAATCAGCTTCCTGCATATGTAAGGGAATCATGAAAAACTACCCATAATCCCTTTCTTCTGTTAGCAAGATGCGTCAGGCAAATCACCACAGCACATCAGGTGGGAGGCTAGGGACAAAGGGGAAATACATACCATCTTTGTGCCGCCTTCGAGACCCTTTGGCCGAGGATGGCCTTGGAATGCGTGCTGGAGGTTCCTGTAAAACAGGTGTTGCGAAATGCTATTTATCAATACACCATCAGTTGGTATATATAAACTATGAATTTTGACTTGATAAAAGCATTACATTATTATTGGCCAAACATTAAACAAAAACCTATGCTCTCATGGCAAATAAAGGAATGTGAGATGGTGATAAAAGGCTGATCAAGGTTTAAAACAAAGGGCTCTAGCAAATCAAAACTTCATCATCTGATGAGGAAATATAAATGCATGAGTTGTAACATTATATCTTTTATGAAAAAAAAAAAAAAAAAAAAAAAAAAGAAGAGAAAATATACCTCTTCATTCTGAGTCTCTTCTGTTGTGCCATTTACTATAGGCTCCTGATTTTCTTTACGACTTTCATCATTTGCCTATAATCATATAAAAAGTATATGTTATACTGTGAAATGTAACAATCTGACAGACTTGCAATACTGATTGTGATACAGCCAATACAATAATACAATATTGTAATACAAAACAAAATTTATAAATTTAACCGAAAGTGAGCATTACAAAGCTTAATCTAATTCAACAATATGCAAATTAATAACCCTTTTAAATTTTTTTCAAAATAAAAAAGGAATATAAATAAAAACTTCACCTTTTCTTTTTCTCTCTCCTTTTCTCTTTCCCTGTCACGATCTTTTTCTCGAGATTTTTCTTTCTCCCTATCTCTTTCTTTATCTCGATCATGCCTGTCTCCTCTATCTTTATCTCTGTCTCTTTCTTTATCTCTATCTCTGTCCCTATCTCTGTCTCTATCTCTATCTCGAGATTTTTCCCTGTGTTTGTCTCTATCCCTGTCCCGATCTCTATCCTTGTCCCGGTCTCTATCCCTGTCCTTGTCTCTATCCCGGTCTCTCTCCTTATCTCGATCTCTGTCTTTGTCACGCGACTTTTCTTTAGCACTTTCTTTGTCCCGGTCTCTACTTCTTTCTCGATCCTTACTTCTTTCTCTATCTTTACTTCTCTTGTCCTCGTCCTTTTTCTCCTTAAGATAAAAATATGTTAAAGATAAGCATTAAAATCTACTTAGTTCTTAAAAGTAATTTATATTTTTCATTTCACAAGATAAACTCCTTCTGAACACTGACAAAAAAAAAATAATAATAATAAAAAAAAAAAATAAATAAATTGTGATTTTTAAATTGGCACTGCTGTCCATTAGTATTGAAAATAAACAATACAGTGAACTTAACACTTACATCTTTTCCTCTGTCTTTCCTACCACTAGATGGCTTTCTGTCGCCTTTGTTAAATTTATCTACATATTCATCATTATTAACCTGAAACAGAGTAAAAATAAATGTAAATACCAGGGCACACAGAACAAAACAGCACCTTAATTTGTGCAGTGAGCAACACTTAAAACAGGAGCCCTCACTTCAATTTATCATTCATAAGTCAAGTGTCAAGGCCTAACGTATCTAATGCCTTGCATAAAAAAAAAAACAGACATAAATACAGACAATCCAAAGGATATGACCTTTGCTTAATGACTAAGCAAAAAGTATCAGCAAAATATTGTGGTCGATTTCATTAACAATGGCATTTTCTCAATAATTCTTGAAACTAGACACTTGCCTTTTTGCCAATTGCCTCTGCAAGGGCTTGAAGAAACTCGTTGGTTTTCTCTGGCTCATGTCCTGCTACTATTTTGACTGGTTTAGCATCCAACTGACGGCCCAAGACCATGCCTTAAAAGTAAATTCAAGCATGTTAAAGCAATTATGACTACAAACTTTCAACCAAATTCTACATGATATTCTGCTTAGTTTCTATGCCATGTGTGATAATATCTCAATAACATAAATGAGATACTAATGCACATAAACCTTTTAAAAACTCTTTTAATGAAAAGTGATGGGCTGAAATTTTAAGTACACAGAAGTGACACTTACCAACAAAGTCTATAGATTTTTGTAAAAATGCCATTTTACTATCTTTGTCCTAAAAAGTAGAGAAAAATGATAGAGTCTATGATGAGCAATTTTTTTAATTATTTGAAGCACCATTCATCAAACAACTTAGAAGACATCATTACAACATCCAGGCAATTGCTTCACCACAAAAATCCTTAAATTAAATGCAAAAGTTATGACAGTATCAAAATCCATCAAAAGTGTAATTTGCTAACTATATTGAACAGATAATGCTGACATGACATTTAGCAATGATGTTTTACCTTGACATTGTCAGAATTCATCTCTGAATCTGTATATAAGCCTTTCATGAACCCTGTATTTTTTATCACCTGAAAAATAAAGACAAACGTTATGTATTGAATGGTACGCATTGAAAGAAAAAGAAAAGGGGAATAAGCGTTAATTTTTTAATGTTGCATTATTAGATGATGAAGCAACAGTACTAAGGAGAGCCCTTTTCTCCAAAACTGGAACTTTTAAAACTGCGTTAATATGACCTAATGAATCATAACATGAGGTAAAACAAATAATAGCATACTACGCTGGACAGAGCTCTTGACCAATATCTCAAACATCCAACTTACCGAAGTCATGACATCGTGAAGAAATCTAAACGGTGGTTTCGATAACAGTTTTTCTGTTAACGGAGGTTTCTTTATCAATTTGCCTAAAGAATCCTGAGTCTTTTTTATAAGTCTGTCATTCATCTTGAGTCTCTAACTGTTAACACACTTAAAACCAACAAAGTACACCAATTACGCAAAAGGACTTGTCCAAACTTCTATGATTCCACAACATAGCACTACATTATTTTCTTCTGCTCGGAATTCCATCCCATAATATCCAAACATTGACATGCGCAATGCATACATCCGGCTGGAAAGCTTGGTGTTGCCATGCAACAGCGATGCACCTTGAACAGGTGCCCCTGCACATCTAACGCAATCAGGCCATTGCTGAGTTAAAGGTCCTGACAAATATTGTACCCCGACTTACTATTATATATCCACAAATACTTAAGAAAAAAGGTAATACCCGTCCACAATTTCACATGGAGCCAAAATCATATGAATTGTTATTTACATTATTAACATTTAACATTAGAACAGTTGATGAATGTTCAAATCTAGTACAATCAACAGACTTCATCAGACCATTTTATTTACTTGATGTGACGATTTTGTAATCTGTGATACAGCAGAATAAGAAAACAAAATGATTTTGATTTGTAATATCCAACAAGTTGCCAATAAAACTAATGTGACAACGTGTCACTTAAAGTAGTTAAAAACTGATGGAAATTACTCTTAGTAGTAATGTTGTTCATAATAGTTTTTAAAACTTCTAAGGTTAGGACAAAAGCTCTTACAGGTATGCTTTCAACACAGCATAGAAATTGAAGAGTTTTAAAACTTAAGTATTATGAATTGTTCAAAATTGATTTGCAGGGTTGAAGAGATGAGTCAAATAACTTTTCATAAAACAAACTTTAATTGAAAAAAAAATGCAAGCTATCAACACAATGGTACCTTCGAATAACAATTTATTTTTAAGTTCTTGCTTATGTTTTAAAACTCACATTTGACAATTTAAATTGGAGAATTAATATTTACAAACCCAGAATTATAACATGCACATCTTTGCACTTATAATAAATAGTCTAACAATTTAAAACACTATTAAGGCAAAAGCATCTTATTTCCAGAAGAAAAAATCTTTTTAGTGGGGATATACCAGATGACATGAAGCTATTTTTCTGACATAAAAGAAATAATATGCATATCAAAGTGAAAATAAAAAAATTAGATGCTAATAACTAGATCTACATTCAAGTTTGCGCATTTTTAAAATATATAAAAAGTCCTGAGAACTTTCATTGCATGATATGGGCCATGCCATTTTTTATCACACAGCAACATATTGGTCAAATGACAGTATCTTTGTGCCCTTGGGTAACATGGTAAACCATTAATATGTGATTGAAGAAATAAGCCCTCTCTGTCAAGGAGAGTTGAGTCTGAAGCTCATTTCTGACTCATCGGAATCATCAAGATCCACTCCATAACGAGGGGCGGGGTCAGAGTCATAGTCCAAGAGCTCTGTGTCTGTGATGTGCGAGTCTCCTTCCACAAAGCTGGCAAATCTGAAAGTGATGGAACACGTTGAACAGATTTTAATAGGTAACATTCTGCGAGATTGTATAATTCCCTTTATAGTCTATACTGCATCTGAGACCCACTGTTCATGAAAGGTGACTAAGTTACACAAATTGCAACAATTTCCTGGGAAACATTAACAAATTTAGTAAAAATTGTAACTGAATGTCTCTGATTCAGATCCTATTCCTAAACTATGAGGAACAAACATCCACAATAAAAATCCCCTTGTTCTACCTGGCTTGAGAGTTGATCCTGACAGTACTGGAGTCGGGTATTCATCTTTTCTATAATCATTATAATTGCCCTACCTGGATGGAGAATTGATCCTGGAAATAGTCCTCCATGCATCACACTTAGGACTGAGACAATACTGGCGAAGGCTCTCCAACTGCTGGCGCGTGTACTCATCAGCCTGGCGTTGGTACTCCTCTTCACTTAACAGGTGCACTTTGGGTGGAAACCGCCGTCTCCTGTCCATAAAAGAGGAACATAGAATCGAGTTTTCCATAACACATGATGGGGTCACAGCTATGGTTTCAATGCAGGTGAATATTTTTTTCACATTTGAAACTCAATGCAATGTGTTTTTTATTTTTATATTTTCACTTGATCTATTCAATTTCTTCATTACATTTTAAGAGGGAATATTTTTTATCTACATAGGTAAAAATTGTTTGTATGCTTGCTATGTTATTTTAAATGTGGTCAACTAACCTTTTGCCACTACTCACCACACTGATAAAATATAGTGTAATATCTTCCTTGGAAAACAGTGAATTGTTAATATAACAATGATAGTACTAATGGCAACTTCCTGGATCTGTCTTGTGCTTCCATATACCAAGCCTAAAGCACATAACTGTAATGTCCACTTTATGAGATTAAGACTCCTTGGGTCTGTCACTGGACCTCGCCAGTAGAGTACTGCTAAGGTTAATAATCCTGCAACTGCAAAGTAGCCCAGGACGTAGTGTGAATATGTTTCTAGTATGTTCTGCACATTTGACCACATGGCATTAAGAAGAAAGAGACTGAAGGACCAACCTCCTGCCAGCACAACATAGCCTGTTTTCTGAAAGTATTAATATGTATATGTACACTCAAAGCAACAAAGCTTTGTGCAGAAAAGGCATTTTTGCCATTTAATAAAATTCATTGGCCCACTGTTTTAAAATGGAAAATGATCATGTATCAACATGAATTGTTTAAAATGTCATTAGTGCATGCATATTGCATAGTATTTTTCATAATTACTAAAAAAATCTGAATATAACATGGAATTATAATTCAGGATTTCATGTATTAAAAACAAACAACAAGCTAAAACATTCTAACATGCACCATGGCCTGGCAGTAACAATACAGGACCATATGTATACCTACCCTGGGCACAAACCTGCTGACAATAAACACAATGATAAGACAAGAAGCCAGCAGCCCCACAGTCATCCCAGTGCCATAGTAGAATACAATGTTCTTGCTGAGTCTTCTGGCATTGAAGAACAAAATCAGTCCCAGGAACAGGTATGTGATCAGCCAGGGGTCTATAGCTATTATTGAAAATTAACATTCAAAAATAAAAGTATGAATAAAACAAAAATAGTTCTCACATAACTATAGTAAAAGCACAACTATAGTAAAAGTAGAGAATAACTACAGTAAAATATCTGATCCTAGTTTTGGACAAATTTGCAATCTTTTAAACAGAAATAGTAATCTGCCCCAATCCTTAAAAAGTGATTAAATTGAAATGAGATGCCAAATTTTAAAAATATTGAACAAATACTTCAAATATTCATATTTCATGAATTATGCCTTAAATTTTTGTAATTATAATGCTAACCTCTAATCTTTAGTTTTACAGAATAACTAGTTTTGGTTGCCACACCAAGACATGACAACCTAAAGGTATCCATGGTAACCTCCTCCTTTTTCCATGGCAACAAGTTAAACCATGACTTCATGGCATTGTGATACTGTTCCTGCACAGCTGAAGTATTGGCACCTTTGAACAGCTCATAGTCCTCCTCACTGATTATTAGCCGTAGCTATGGTGACAAAAGAATGAGCTCTGTCATAACTACATAGTAAATAGTGTCTAATTTTTGGCACCAAATATGAAATGTTATTGTCTAAAAATGATATGAAGCTGCTTTCATTACATACATTGCAACAGTGATACTTGCAATGTTACAGGGTATATAAAGTAACATGTCACTTATTAATTAATTTTTTATGTTGAATCTTGTGTCATAAAGAAATTAGGAAAATATATCACTTACAGTTGCAGTAGTCCATAACTTTACTGCCTTATACTCCTCCCCTTCATAACAAAATACAACCAGCCTTGAAGTAGGTCTTGAATCAACTTTCTGCTCATTATTACTTTTTGTTAGACTGTATACGTAAGTCTCTGTGATAAAGTTGAACAAGAAAAAGATTAACTTTGTTTTCATCGGCATGGTATTAAAACAATCCAAACAGCTCTTGGCTGGCTATTTAATATAAATATATATTTAAAGGAAACCCATTTACCAAATAAATAAATAAATAAATTATAAGGAAAACTTCCAACTAAGTTACTGGTGTTTGCACATTGAGCATTTGCAACAAAAATATTTTGTTAGAAGATTTATCGGTTCAGCCACAAATAATTTCAAATCACGTACAGATGGCCTCTTGGAACTATCGTTGAAACACATGCACTAGCTTGTAAATGTACTAATTCTAGAAGCATGAATCATTAGCTGAACTTGAAGATGAAAGTTGGTGAAAGGATGACTTAGTTCAGAAATACGAGGATTCCTATTTAGAATCCCCACTATTTTATTCTGTCACTTACCGAGAGATTGTACTAAAGAGGATTTTAAACAAGTTATGCATATGACCCCCCAAAATATTGCAAATTTCCAAGTAACTTCTGCACCACAGGAACGATTTCCCGCCGGCCTGGGCGCAGACATCTTGAAATATAATCTCCAAACTAAGATATAGACAAAGCAAATGCCAACTGTTCATTGTGTTACTTTTATATTAAAAAAATTAAGAGATACTTTTTAAAATATATCAAACTAGTTCTGATAAAATCTGGGTATTGTTAATTGGCTGTAGAATGCATTTAGTTAATTTTATCTTTATAATATCAGAGAGTACTATATAAACTTCCTGTCGCATCATTTTGGTTTGGAGTCCCTAGCAATCAATAATGGTAAGTGCAACTTCTCTTCGTAATTAGTGCATTTTAATCTCAACTTAAAATGCATTTTGACGTAAAGGTAAAGGATTTAAGAAACAATCGTGACAATATGACTTTATGGCTGGACTATGCTTTTGCTTGAGGAAGTTTTTGTTCACCCCTTTTCCAACGTGATTCAATTGCCATAATATTGGCAACGGCCTGATCGGCTTTTTGTCAGAGATACTATACTAGAGTTAAAGCGTCGCAATAACCGGTGCCCTCAGATCATTGATGGTTGAAATATTTTAGTGTTTAACTCAGAACATGAATCCATTTGAGCTTTTTTGTATGCGTTTTCAAATGTTTGCTTAGTCATCTTGTTATTGTACATTCAACTTGAAAAAGAAAGCAGACTCATAATGAGATGCTTGCACGTGTATTTGTAAAAAAAAAAAAAAAAAAAAAAAAAAAAA